TATTTATTGCAACACTTTCTGAATAATCTTTTCATAGACGGTACATCATAAAACCTGTAACGTATTTGTTTGAAATCAGCGCGTTCAATCATAAAGTGTTTGACTGTAAATGGTTAATCGCATGCATGACGATAAGGCTGATCTTCCTTACGTAAAATGTAGCCATTGCAGGTTGAATTGCAAATAACTTCCTGTTTAATTCTTCAGACCATTTATTTTGCCAATTCGTCTTAATAAAATTTGTTAAAAAGGTTAATAATCAGAAAAAGTCAGTTTAATATCTTTCAGTTGTAGGTCAAGGGCTGCTTTAGCAGCTTTGTCTACCTTCTCATTTCCGTTTATTCCGACATGACCTGGCATTCAAATCAAGAGCAGGTGGCATAACACTAACATTCTGTTAATACGGAGGGCGATGTTTTGTGTTGGGATGTTGTTAAAATTCCGACTTTTAATATTTTATAATAGTGACAAACAGTCAGAACAAGTTATTGCTTTGTTAATTTTTTTGTTTTAAATTTCATCCAAAGCCAGACAAACGGCAGTAGCTTCAGCTGTAAAAATAGATGCATTATTTGGTAATCGGTAATCGGCAGGAAGAGGATACGTTGCCAACAATACATATATGTACTGCTGCAACCTTTTCTTCGAATTTAGAGCCGTTCGTATATTAGTGAAGGAAATCCCGAGATGAACTCGGAAAAAAGCGCTCTTGCATTGAACCGGGAGAGTGCGAGATTTTTCATTATTGTGTAATTCTAAATTAACTTCAGGGAGTCGTATTGCCCATAGTGGAATATCTGGTATTATAGCAATTTCGATCAATGATAGGTCTTAATCCGAATTTTCCAGTAGTCTTCGAAGTCGTATTCCAAAAGACGGGATCAAATTCTCATTTCGTTCGATAAGCTGTGTATACTTTGGATGAAATGCTGATTGGAAAGCTTGGTTTTCTGGATGATTGTAACTGGTAAGCAAACTGTAGACATACTTTTGTTCTTCTATCACTGAGGGACGGTTCATTTGCTTCAACGCAGAGGCTTGCGGCTGGGGATGTGCGAAAAGAACCTTAAACGAGACAAAACCCCTGATGATGAACTGGGTCAAGCATCTGCAGATATGACTAGCCGGCTGACCAATATATAATGGAACCATAGTCAAGCTTTCCCAATCTGTATGGGATAATAGCACTTTTAGAATATTGAAAACTTTGAGCTTTTATCTTTTAGATATTTGATATGAGGCAAAAAGGATAATTTTGAGCAGAAAAAACCCCAAGAAATTTTGTTTGTTGAAAACTAGTTCCCTCTATAGTTAAACAGGGATTATGTGTAGTTTTAGAAGTTGGCAGAAAAATGGGAATAGGACAATACTGAAAACACCTATTTGGTATAATAATTTTTTAACAATAGAAAATAGAACTGTATTTTATAAAGAATGGTATAAGAAGGGAGTAATTATTATCAATGATATAATAAAAGAACCTAAAACAAGTACTTTTTATAATTACGTGGAATTTATGGAGAAATATAACCTTATAACTAATTTCAGTACATTCAAAGAAATAGTTAGAGCAGAAAGGCAATATCTGTGGTATAAGGAATTAGTTAATGATATTCTAGTCATCCCTTTAATCAACTTAATCTTTAAATCTAAAAACAACAAGTAAAATAAAGCTGAATGAAATATTTAATCTAGATGATGAACCATGGAATCGTATATAAATCACCCTTTCAAGTTACAAACAATTCTAAGTTGCACTGGTTACAATATAGAATAAATCATCACATCTTAACAACCAATTCATATTTGTTTTAAGATAGGATAAGTAAAGACTCCATACTGCTATTTTGTAAAACAGAAATAGAAACAATAAATAGTCCATATGCTATGGGAGTGTAACAAAGTACAGTTTTTTTTCAGAACTTTGAATTTTTATTAGATTCATTAAACATCCCATTTACTTTTAATAAGTACACTTTCATTTATGGCAAGCATAACTATAAACGTACTTACTATACAACTGATAACCTTATACTACTAATAATGAAACAGTACATCTATAGATCAAGATGCTTGCAACAAACTCTATCAATTCATGCTTTGAAAAATGCTATTAAAGATCACTACAGTATTCAAACAAATATTTCTATAGGTAAAGGAGTGGATACTGCTGAAAAAAATGAAAATTCTTGGAAGGAATGGAATAAGTTATTAAAACTCAACCCCAATCCCTGACAAACAAAAAAAGGATAGAATACATATGTATTTTACATTTTAACTCAGATAGCTCATCATCAACTTGATTAAAAGATAGAAGTTAAACTCCCTACCACTTTACTCTTGAAATTAAAATGTTAACTATGTTTCAGGTTCAATTAATAGTTGCACTATGTCTGTAATACATCTAATGCTCCTCTCCTCTCCCTCTCTCTGTGTTTCCCCGTTTTCTTGAAAATTTGAACAAGGCTGTTTTCCTGTTGGTGTTTTTTACCAAGATATTTAAATACAAATTTTACATTGCAACTTCTATAAAATAGCAATGCATTGACTTTAAAATAAACATATACACAACTAGATCCGTGGGTATTGGAAACGAGAATACACATACAGTCTATTCTTGTCTACGCAAGAGTGAACAAGTGAGTGTGAAATTTACTATTGTAAGATATTTTGTAATGCTGAAAACTTTTCAAAGAATAAAACTATAAAAAAGAAAATCTTCATAAGTTCTATGCCAGTTCTATTTTTTCTTTTATCTGTTTGCACCCCGAGGTCACTTTTGATCTGAACGTTATAGTGCTATAAAAGACAACATTCAAAGTCAATTTGTCGTTTCACGTATTTACTAGTACAGTACTTAATGTGAAGGAAAAAGTACAGATCATTGCAACATGACAAAGATCTGTTAAGTAATTCATAATATTCTTCGGAAATCCAAGATGACCGCCTGTGGCCAGCTTGTTTTTACGATTACTCTCAAAGTTAAACATGTACAACTAGGGAATCTTCATAAGAAATTTGAGAACGATCTGTCGAGTACTTTTTCAGAAATAGCGATAACGTACAAACTTTCACTCTTAAAATACAAGATGGCTACCTGGCAGCATTCTTATTCCTTTGATCAGTTTCAAAATTAAACATGCACAACTAAGGACCATGGGAAACACACATATCAAATTTGAGAAAGAGTCCTCCAGTTGTTTCTGAGAATAAGCAATAACAAACTTTAACTGTCAAAATCCAAGAAGGCCGCCATTAAGCCATTTTGATGATCCGATCAGTGTCAAAAGTAAACATGAATAACTACAGACCAAGGGAATTCTACACATCAAACCTAAATCCCTCCAGTACTTCCTGAGTAATAGTGCTAACAAATTTTAACTATCAAAATTCAAGCAGGCTACCTGTCGCCCATCCTGGTTTTCCGATAAGTCCAAAAATTCGATATGCATGTGAATTTGGGAAAATTATCTCAAGTACTTTCTGAGAAATAGCGCTAACAAGATTGTTTAAGGACGGACAGAATGACGGACGGACCACGGACTCAAAGGTGCAGTGTCATATATTGTGTTGAATATCTAACATAAAGATTTATCAAAGCTTCATAATTCGTCGAATTAATAGCGGTATTGTTTCCGCTTAAAGTTCATAGTGAATACATTTTTAGAATGTACTCGGTGTCGTAGAGTAATCCAGCTGACAACCGGAGCACACTTTGTATACATTAATGTACATCACGTATACATATCTATTTGTGAGTTACTCCGGAAATTGCCGGATGTTTACATCATACAGATAAATATTAACTAGCCTACACACCCAAACAGCTATTGACTTAAGGATGAATGTGCCACTGCTTTTATATCTTGAGAGTTAAATTAATGAGGCTTATCACCTAGCGTGATGTGCTCTTATCTACTTGTAAATGACATACTAGCTTTCTCAGAGTAAGAAACTACCTCACTACCGTTTTTGTAATCTTGCATTAGCAGAAAGATGCATGGGAATTTGAACCTCTAAAAATGACGCACCTATTTCCCAAAACTAAACCAAGGAACTAAGCGACTTACTGCCGAACGGTACTATTTGTTATAGCAGCCAGGGTCGAAGAGAGAACGGATGCCTACAGGGACACCGCCGGAAAGAGAAAGTAGATAGGAAAGATAGAAAACGAAAGTAGGTAGGAAAGATAGAAAACGAAGGAGATTCCAATGAGTAACACTAGGGGCAGCAGAATAGTGATAGTCTTTTTCATGTTCTCTTCGTAAAAAAGACACGGAACAACCTCCCCCCACCCCTCTGCATGGGGCCCCATATAGCTGCTTTTTACGATACAGATGCAGTCGGATACAGCAGGGTTAAGGTTGGTTTCTTCAATGTCTCCTCAACATAAGCCAATAATCCACCGCAGTGTTATAGGGGCCCTCAGTAGCCGCCTCAATCCACCCCAGTGTTATAGGGGCCCTCAGTAGCCGCCTCTTACTATCATGCAGGGGGACACCGCAGGCCTATTCTTTCCCTGAGCCTGCAAGGATTTGATTTAAATGCGACCTTAAATTCATCTAACACTTTTACTTATAATCATAAAAAAAAAAATCAAAGTAAAAAAAACCCACACAAACAAAATCGTTCAACATTTTGATGTGTAATGTACCATATATATTACTTAATAAATCAAGCCACCCACGTATCCCCTGGTACTATATATTACTTAATAAATCAAGCCACCCACCTATCCCCTGGTACTATATATCACTTAACGGTTATTCTCTAGGATAGCTGTAGGCCATCAATGAAAGTAAACCAGCAACCCTGAAATTGATACTTGTAGTATTGTTTTAATGTGTGGCAAGGTTTAGCATTATGACATTTAAAAAGGGGAAACATTTGTTTTTGGCTTCTCTAAAACGGTACGCATTGCTTTTGTTTCGAGTCGAACATATCTTGTTTTGTTTTAAGAAAATACCTGGAAATTATTCAAGTTTATTGAATAAAGTACCAACAAACAGTTGATTCGCGTATTTGAGGAGTTCGTTTTATTGTATCTGGATGACTAAAACCATACCAACGCAGTGGTAATATTCCCCAAGACAAACCCCGATAGGCATGTTACAGTCGCTATGTGAAGGTCCATATTCTCGTAAAACGGTTGTACCTTCATACTTACTTCTCTTACGAAAAAATGGATCCTTTTCATTCTCCAGAAATCAACAAGCGAACTCGAATTTTGAAAATGTCATAATAATGTGAATAACAATGCAAGACTTTTAAACTTGACAAAATCAAAAACGATTACTTTGCAAAACATATCGAAGCTAAACTGTCACATACCGCTATCTATTGAAGCTAAACTGTCACATACCGCTATTTATCGAAGCTAAACTGTCACATACCGCTATATTAAACGAATAGTTTTTGTTAAAGCTGTACAGAACGTGAGTGAGAGAAGAAAAATGAAAATGCCGTGCATCATTTGTTTTATTACATCAAACACCCGAAGTTGGTTTTCCATAAACAATTAATGCACGTGAATTCTCACACGCCACACTTATAACATTGAGAGTGTACAGCATTTCCGCACATTCAACCAATAGCCTTAACAGTAAGTGTAGTAAAATTTCCTCACACGAAACTCATAATAAATAGTTTTATACAAAAAGCATGAGTATATAATTGCTCTCATATAACTAAATACATTTTTCCAAAAGCCTGTAATTACAAATAAATTAACATACAATGTACTACTGTTTATACAGTGCCCTATCTGGCCAGATTTGTTAGTTAGTAAACAACGGTTGGTTGTACAGGATTAAGAGTCCTAAGGATTTGCCTGCATGCATGTTGTGTATGCGTACATGTGTGCATTTGTGCCGGGGACAGGGTACATGTTGGTGTAGTTGCCTACTTGTGATAGCACGGATCTGATGCCGACTTTATAGTGTTACCCAACTGAAGGCACACTGCACTGTATTCCGCCAGATCACATTATACTGATAACGGGTGAACCAGTTGTTGCCATTTCCTTAAATGCTATCAATTAATCAGGGAATAGCAAATACCATTATTTAGAACTGGGGAGAGAACCCATTGCCTTACTCACCTGGGGAAACGTTCAACATTAAAGCCAAAAGTGAGGTATTGTCAAGCAATACGCTAGAAAATAAAAGGTAGAAAGAAATATAAGATCCGAAACATTGCATTGGGTGCGGCAGACATATTTTGGTCGTTATGGTGTCCCCAAGTAAAGGGCACGAAAGCAAATCCCCAATTCTGCAGGGGGTTCCAGCATAAGTATAAGTCGCCTCTTACAATCATGCAGCGGGTTACTGTATGTGCATTCTTTTCACGATCTTCGACCGGCATGCGTGCCCAACAACGGTTAAGTCGTCCAGGGCCCGATAACAATAATCAGGGCCACTTACAAAGCCTTTAACACTAAATTAAATGATTACAAAACTCGTTCATGTACAGGGGTGAAGGTAAGGGAATTTCCACCTAAGGGTTTTCATATTGGGTAAAACCCGAGCTACCGAGGGTTCTACAACACTTTGAAAATCCCTGTGGTGGGATTCCGTATCCTACATCACTTGGCATTAAAACGTAAATTTCTCTCAATCCAATCTCTAAAATCAACTCGAAATCCCCAAAACAACGTTGCAGTATCAGCATTGCAGCCAAGAAATGTTCCGATTTGTGTGTCTTCACTCAAAAAAGGTTACAAACTGCACTCCCAAGTCCACAGCAAAATTGTCATGTAAAATTATATATCCCCCCCCCCATTTAAATTTAAAATTTAGTGATGCAGGCAATCTTTTCGTAGATATTCGAAAATCTTTGACAAATAATTTGACCAATGTTTTTATAACAAACTCATCTTTTCTCGAATATGTCTAAAATCAGCACATTCGATCAATGTGAGAGGCACAGTCATAATTATGTTCGACACATGAATGGTAAAATACGGATCCTCTCGCCGAACCTAGTACCCATTAGTACAATGTGTTTGTCGTGTCCGATGTCGTCCTTCCTCAAGTCTTATGGGGATGTTTGAGCCAGAACAAACCACGATAGAGCCATACAAACATTGCAAAATATCGATCATTTAAGGCTCAAACTTATGTAAAACTTTGAATCATATTGGTAACGGAAGAACTACCATCGTAAACACGCATTTCATTCATTTTGTCCCTCATTCATGGTAAATCCGTCATTCTTTACAAACAGATAATTTGCATGTCTTAATTATTCATGAAAATAAATCCCTCGTCGCAATACTGAAATAGGGAGACGATCGTACAAACAAAGCATTATGCACAAATAATCACAATTATACCATTAAATATCTCTGTTAAAGGGCCAGTCTCATTAGTCTAACGCATTACCTCTGTAAAGGGATCTGTCTTAGTAATAGAATATGGCAACTTTGTTGAGATGTCTGTCTGTAATAATCTAATAGGGTAACTCTGTTGAGGTGTCTTCTTCAGTGAGCATTGGCTTAGTAAACTGAAACGTGTTTCGCCTAAGAAAGTCAATACGATTTTGTATCGATTGCACATATTCTCTCATGTTATCTTTTGCAAGTTCGAGAGCTCGTTCAGCATATCTTAAGGCATCCTGTGGAAGACTTTTCCTAAACATGCGATCGCAATTTGCAATGCTGAAATACATTTCGAGAATAGGACAAAAGATAGAATTCGACTCTTCATACCGTTTCATAATGTCATCTGCCACTTTTGCGTCTTTCTTCTGAAGAGATATTTTGCGGCCCATGCTTAGTCCGTTGCAACCACATCGCAACAGTAACACCACTAGCTGGAACTTTACATATGCAGCACCGTATGTTCTGTCGTGACCTTTGTCCTCATTGAAATGTTGTAGAGATCGGTTGTAACTTCTCAAAGTTCGTTCTCGTATTATCTCTTCTGGCTGGCTTTCTCCTTCATTTTTATCGGTGATTAAGTCAAGTTGTAACGCATTACTTCTGCCCTCGTTGTAGTAAACCCAAGCTGCACCTCTTCCAGTGCAATGTAAAGGGTTTGACTCAACAATCATTATTCCTTCGTCGTTTATGTCTTTAAATTTACCAAACCTCCTCTGCAAGATATACCGGCGTGTTAGTGGAGATAATAATAGTAGCTGTGAATACATAGGATCTTTCGTTTTTGGCACAAGGCTCTTTGAGAGAGCAAGCAAGTTTTCTTCTGAAGTACAGTCTAATTTTTGCTGTGCAAACAAAATTTGCATATATGCTACAGTAAACAATGTATCAGCACAATCATGCCTATCTGCTTTTAGTTTTTCACATTCTACTGCGAACTGAATATGCTGTCCATTGTTGTACATGTCAGCCAGCTTATCGAATGCTTTCTCCACATATTTGATATGTTTTCGTTCTGATGATAATGGTTTGGGTACAACTGTCATCGCGGCAAGTCGTTTGGTCTCTTTTCTCATTCGTTTATACTGCTTACTTGCTTGTGATTTTCTCGGTCGTTTATACGGCTCATCTCCCCGTGTTTTTCGCCGTTTTCGTGGTGATCCTGTCCTATATATTTGAGTTCCTTTGAGTTGGTTTGATAATTCAGACAATTCTGGTTTACTTGCGACAGCTTCTTTAAACAAAGAAAATGCCTTTTCTCCCCGCGTTTTTATGTATTCCAGTAGTTGTCGCCTCCTGTCGTTCCGTGGTATGTTTGTGTCATCATTAAGTGTACCATGCTCATCAAGTGTTATTACTTCCTGTTCGTACAGAAAGTCAATGATCAGTCGAGGCTCAAGGCTTTTAATCAAGTCTGATTCCATGGTGTCTTCATTTTCTGAAGTGGAAGTAAGTGTGTATCAGTGAGTGAATTATGAAATATTAACAGTTTTATGATAGAATATAAAGCTTAAACATTGTGGTCTACAATTAATGACTCATCTCATTAGTCGGTGGTGTAGCTTTAATAAGGAGCGGGTTAACGGTCAAATATACGCCCATTTCCGACAGTTTAAATGTCCAGGCTTTTCTTTGCGTGTTATATCTTCAATAGGCTATCGCCCTGTCAGCCCTTTAAACACAAACTATCTATCAGATTTGTTTCTTTGTTTGGGGGTTTAAGTCCTAAAACGGATAAAGTCACCTAGGAAGACAGAAAATAAAGAGTAAGAAAGAAAGAAAGAAAATTAGATCCGAAGTTTTTGAAATGAGGGCAGCAATTTCATTTTGGTTTCCAAATTTCCTCTGAGTATTATACACAGACATATTATACACAGACATATTATACACAGACACACATTATACACAGACATATTATACACAGACACATTATACACAGTACACAGACATATTATACACAGACACACATTATACACTGATACATTATACATAGACATATTATACACAGACACATTATACACAGTACACAGACACATTATACACAGACATATTATACACAGACAGACATATTATACACAGACATATTATACAAAGACACATTATACACAGACATATTATACACAGACATCGTTAGGAAGATCAAGTAATTTACTCGAACGACATATAATCATCCGGCTGGACCATATTATTTCCTAGTTGGGTCAAAACGCCTTTTTCCCTTTTCGTATAACCCCTGAGGTAGGATAGTGTCTTTAAGTTTAACATGTTCATGTTGTGGTACATTTGCATGTCTGCTATTTTAATCTAAATTATACTTATTTACTTAACGATAAAAAAGTCTAACTATCAAATGGTTCCTTCATCTTTCGTTTTATTTACTCCTCCAATTTTAACATTACTGACATGTTTTTAACTGTACGCACTCTCCCGAACGGAAGGTATTGATCCTTTCATGCTAATCGCTAACGTGTAACAGCTTTGAGTTAAGTTCTCTGAAAAGCACAGACCATTGTGTCAATATGTCTTGTTTCTTTTTCGATTTAGATGAAAAATTGACATGAGTGTTTTCTAAAATCTAATCCTTATTCGTACTTGAATGACAATCTTAAAGTATAGACGGGAAGGTCTAGATGTAGCTTGTTGCATTTGATAAGATAAATAAAATAAATCACATCCACCAACATGAAAAGAATTAGACATTAAATTACCAAGGAAAACTACGGAAGACCATTAGGGCCATGTAGAAAAAAAAATCGTTTTTTCGTGTAAATAACTCGAGATTTCAAGATAATAACCCGAAATTTCAAGATACTAGCCGTGAATTCTTAACGCAATATTATACTGATGTCACGCTTAACGAAAAAACTGCCCGCCATCCTGAATGGGTTACTCAACACCTTTGTACCGTTCTCTAGTATTGTGAGATGTATTTACTACCGAAACTGTTATCAGTTTTATAAGTTCAGTAAAAACCTTAGTCTACATAGGAAAGTTGTACCAAACTAATGATGAAGATATAATATTTCTGTGTACAATTCTAAGTTCACTGAATTGAAGATATTCGTTTTTATCAAACTGATGATTTCCGAATTTCACTGGTAGAAATGCAAAAAAAACCCACCTTCCTTACTTTTACAAAATGTATCATATATTATCTTTCAACTGCCTTTCTTTTTGTTTTGGAAAATTAATATTCTAGATGGTACATTATACTGTACACAAACTATATACAACACCGATAACACAAATCATCTCTGCCGGAGTCAATTAAAACTTTTAAGTAAGAACAACATCAATAAGATTTGATATACTACCTAACCAGATAAGAACAGCTTTAATTTTAGGATCTCATCACTTAAATGTATAAAACATCAGACGTATGTTAGTGTAAGTACTGTTGTGTTTACATCATATCCTGACACTATATAGAATTAACATAAGGCGTATGTTAGTGTAAGTACTACTGTGTTTACATCATATACTGACACTATATTGAATTTACACAAAGCGTATGCTAGTGTAAGTACTGTTGTATTTACATCATATCCTGACACTATATAGAATTAACATAAGTCGTATGTTAGTGTAAGTACTGGTGTGTTTACATCATATCCTGACACTATATAGAATTAACATAAGGCGTATGTTAGTGTAAGTACTACTGTGTTTACATCATATACTGACACTATATTGAATTTACACAAAGCGTATGTTAGTGTAAGTACTGCTGTGTTTACATCATATACTGACACCATATAGAATTAACATAAGGCGTATGTTAGTGTAAGTACTGCTGTGTTACATCATATCCTGACACTATATTGAATTTACACAAAGCGTATGTTAGTGTAAGTACTGTTGTATTTACATCATATCCTGACACTATGTAGAATTAACATAAGGCGTATGTTAGTGTAAATACTGTTGTATTTACATCATATCCTGACACTATATGGAATTAACATAAGGCGTATGTTAGTGTAAGTACTGTTGTGTTTACATCATATCCTGACACTATACAGAAATAACATAAGGCGTATGTTAGTGTAAGTACTGTTGTGTTTACATCATAATCTGACACCATAGAGAATTGTCATATATTTATTGCCATCCTTACAACCATGACTGCTGCATGGAGAATACTGTTTAACGCTCAAAAGTTAATCTAATTAATAATATACATGCAATGAATGTAAAAACGTGCTTCAGAAAATTAAATATTTGCAGTTAAATATGTAACAACGAGCTTTAGAAAATTTAATAATGGCAGTTAAATATAGATTATGGGTGTCGACTGAACACATTACGACATCGTCACAATCCAATAAGTCAGGCCAAAGGTGAGACTCTAGTAATGAGTAAGCATGCTTCGTAATTTACACGTAAAGTATTGTTTGAGATAGGCTATTCGTCAGTGACAAGTATTTTTAGTACCCCGTTACCTCGTCATTGGTTACGCCCCGATTTCGTTTCTGTTTTATTACCATGGTAGAGCGGTGGTACGTACACTCCTGTTGATGTTCAGCATCACACCAGTAATGGAGCGGGGGAAGCGCGTCTCCTTGTTTTGATGCACAGCATTCCACCAGCTAGGTAAGTTGTACTTAACAGAGATACTTCGTATTCTACGAGTTCAATAGCCGGAAGAATTTAGATCCTGAAACATACGTCATGATAGATTATACACGATAAGTTTGATTACACATCTGTTAAATGTCTTTATACAAACAATATCGATCTCAGTAAAGCATCTACATGTATAAACATGTCACGTTCAAGGAAACGAGCACAGTTAAATCTTGCTGAAACGTTGTAATTCCAGGTAATCGATGTTCTCAGAATGATTATGTGCACTCTCCGTTTTGTTTACATTGCGTCATTGTCTGATATCATAACTCCACTTGAACACACTATTTTTAGTTATAACGATAACAATAGCAATGCATGTAACCCGACAAGAATTGATATGTACAAATCAACTTGTTGTTAGTAGGTACCCTACCTCAAAACAAATCATATATAATAAGACATTTATATGAAAAGAATGTTTATAGTACGTGGCCTAACAGCACAGTTATGTCATTCTGCAGTTAATTGTGATATACAATCAAGTAACAAGTACAAAGATTGTGTTTGTTCAGCAAACGTCCTATGAAGTCGAATGAGTGCAGGGAATTGGGTACTTATACAGGTAGGGCACAGCATTCCACGGGCACCTGATCACATACTGACAACGGGTGTACCAGTAGTTGAGCAGAGTATAAGAACTACCAGTTTAAGGACTTTGGTATGTCCTGGCCTTGGGACAGAACCCATAGCCTTCCGCGGCAGTAAAATGAATATAAGATGGAGAACTAATATAACAAACGACGACGCGGGACACTTAAACAAACAATACCCGTTTAACCGATTTACTACAAATATGAATTTGCTGTAAGTCATAGTGCAAGCACATTTTAACGACTTCACCTCAACGAAATCAGAAAACTTATTAGGCCTCAATATCTTCAGTTGGTCATTGCGATTTAGCTGATAAGTATTCTAATGTGAAATAGAAATACCATTTAAAAAGTATCGAAGTTTTGTGATCAAGGATTGCTTTGTTTTATTAATTTGTTAATTTTATTTAATGTGCCTTTCAATTAAAAAAAAGGCTTTTACTAAGTTATGAAATATTATCAAAGCTTTATAGCAGGCTGTAATTGCAGTTTTACACATTTTAATAAATTTACGCATTAATTGCTAGATACTGTATTGCAATGTTTAAGCAATAAACTGCATAGATGTGGCAGACCAACTGGTATAACTGCCACATGTGTCACAGACAAACTGAATGGTGCGCGCTAGTGCTAATAATTCATTTGTTTTTAATTTATATATATATCGTATTCTCAATTCATAAAACAGTAACAAATAACATTTTGTAAGTAACTAATCAAGTGTCGTAAAACATTTTCTGATTTTATTGCGACCTATATCCGGCGCACGCACTCAACGGAAGCCCGCAGTAATCGGGTCAAAGTTATTTTTGCAGTCCGGCATGTTGTTGATGTTGATCGTGCAACCGGAGAACGTTGAATTAGTGAAAAATCCAGGCGAAAAATTGTTTGTTGATCTCACAGACACTTGAGACAGGCAGATGGTGTTCGGCATCAAAGCAGAAGATACCGATACGTTCGGTAGTGACGCTGTTAAGGCGCTCAGAGGTGCAAAGACCAACTTCAGTTATAGTCTCATAAGATGAAGCTGCTATTGGCAGTACTTTAGTAGTAATATAGAGGGGCTTTGACACACCAAATGTAAATATGTCCATATATTCACAACCTGATAACATAGGGCCTAAAGGACCATTCTTCATAACATCATACACATCAATATATACTTTCATAAAAAAATCTGAAGCAACAATTTATAATTCAATGCAGATATAATGTATATAACATAGAATATGGAATATTTGTTATATGGAAAGGTGAGAATGATCTTGGGTTTTGGTTTGCCATTCCTGTCATTATTGAATTTGCCCGGTATGTACTTACACTCAACATTTATATCAAATGGAACAATACGAGACACATCCATACATTGCCTTGTTACACTCTTCATTTGGAAAAACAATCCCATCACCCTCCTTCTCCTGCCCCCCTCGAAGAAATAGGTTTCAATTTGGTGTGGCATTAATTAATCAATTATGGGGTAGGTGCAATATGTTCATTTATAGCCTCATGTGTTTACTGTTATTCTGTGAAACAGGAAAATAAACATTTCATATTTTCAAATATTGAAGACAAACGAAATTAATTGTAGTTACATGTATTCAATAAAATGTGTGAGGTTCTATTCATGATAGCAACTTCTAGAATCTGATGTGCCCGTAGTCTCGCTAGAGCGCAATGATATCCAGTGCATATTTTGAGATATTGATTTGCTCGATACGCAGTACAACTTGTCATATCATTAACATAATGCCGTCAGGCGTTATTGATTGTTACCTGTTTTTAATATTTACTTTTTCATCCTCCTCTTCAAACGTCATTCCAAATTACCTATGACGAACTGTAGACAAAAGAATCATCTTAATTGAAATAAATCATTCTACAGACAGGAATACACGTAAGTGATATTACAAGTAGTACATGTACGATTTACCTTATGTAACATGAATCGTCTTTTCTTCCTGTGTTTCGATCCACGTGTCCCTTTCTCTGTATTGAAAGTAGTTTGTGTTGACGTGTTAGGAAATCTTGGCATTTAACTGCGTTGTAGAAATGTAGCACTCAACTAAAAATAAATCCAGCCGATATTCTATCATTGCTTCCTGGCGATATTTCAATACGGGTTTTCCAAAATATATTTTTATACATGTACATCATACATCAGTAGATAGGTGACAGGAACTATACGACATCATTTCCTCTATGTACAGAACGTTGAATACCGACAGCAGGCATTTTAAAATTAATCTTTTCAGTGCAAAATGTTATGTTGACGTGAACTTGAGGTAAATGTAAACAAAACTGCACGGCTATGCCACGCGAGTCTCGGTTCAAGGGAGATAAATCAACCATGATGTTTGTTCTTGATGATACACGAAGTCTTACTAGGATTTATATACTTCCGTTGAAGACACAGAAACTGACAGCTTAGATGACAAAATAAAACTATTTATAGAAACCCCGTCATGATGCTTTACACGATGATGCAAGAATAGTTACCCAAATGCTGAACGTTTGGTAGGACATAAACAAGTACTATTTATAATCTAAGACCGTTGGTACATGTATGTCCCAGCATGTAGACACAACCCACTACCTTCCTCACATGGGTGAACGTTTAATATTAAATTGTACCCTGAACAAAAAATAGTAATGAATATATTATTCTATAAGATCCAAAAACAAAAAGGTCGAAATATTGACGTGTAAAGGGTACGATTTTCACCTGTCCTTACACTACTAATTAGCATTATCGTGACTTTCGGTGAATTGGACACTTTTTGGCTGTGACGTCACAAGTTCAGCTACCATGTAAGAAACAGGCGGGAACAAGAACAGCCATACAGCGTCAGATTACGAATTCACGTAAGTTTCATAATTAGGTTGCTGCAATTATGCTGAGATTATGCTGAACTTGACATTATACATGTAGATGACATGCTGCCATACCCAATATGTTGGAACTTTCAGACAGTGAGTTGGATGGCAACCAATTAAACTGAAGATGGGAAAACGGGCTGGTAGCATTGCATTTCTAGTTTCTGAGCACTAATGAGAAATTCGCAGAATTAACAAATTTGAGGGTAAATGAACATAAATGTCTTTATGTGGTTGATGAACACTTTTTTTTATTCTTTATAGCTGAAAGTCAGTTTGCAATCACTTCCTTTACTCTACAGCGACATCTTATTCCATCCTGTCGTCGTTCAAAAATACGGAACGTATCAGTAAAAATGTTTACAAGCTATTTCATCGTTTGTGTCTTAAATAATATGTATGGCATATTTTGAATATCCATTCTGACCTACCGCATACTCGCGAATTGACGACATCGTGTCTTCCTTAATTATGTCAGGCTACCGACTTATCTAATGTAATCTAATTCCGCGGTAAGCAAACAGTTAAACATCTAATTACATAATGTACTGTGTTATCCATTGGATATTTTTTTTGCGTATTAACCCATGTAATATTACCCATCAGCCCTGTGCTTGGTTGTAAGTTTCAATTGTTTTAATTGTGACGTCACGCCTAGGACAAGTACATGACGTCATAGACTTGCGCACTAGAGTCAATAGGCGGCTTTTCACATTTCATGTTTGCATATAAATTGTCGTTTTACACGAACAAATGCCACAAATCTTGATTATGAGATAAAAGGATCTTACACTCTTTATCTTTTTATATGAAATTTATGAAACAAGGCCAAACAAGGCGCTAGGAAATGTTTGGTCGCTTTTGTGTCACCAAGTAGAGGATACAAAAGCAAATTCCCAATTCTGTAGAGGACTCGCACATTTCTCCACTTTTAAGATACATGCAGTAGGTAACAACAGGTGTATTCTTTTCTCGGTCTCCGACCTGGAGAGGCGCTCAACACACCTGTGTCCAGTGCTGACAGCAGGAAGTCAAAACACACCTTTATACCTGTGTCTATGTATGGCATCAAAGGGATGTCAGTAGATGGGAAAGGAGATACCTAATGTTAGTAAGTTCCATTGAACAAGGATGTCCTCTGGCTAGATAACGGGAGAAATTAATTAGGATCAATTTGAAGGTAAATACAGCTTCATACAAAGCGTAAGCAATGTCATAGATAGTGTAAAAAATCAGTACAATTACATCACCCGAGAAAGGAAGTTATACGCACGATCATATTTTGCACATTTTACATCTGATCAGGTGGTTTAATGATATCTTACTCGTATTTGAAAACGCTGTTTCATCTGATGAGTTAAGTGCAAGATTTTCTTTTGGTGTATATCTAAACTTCATAGATTGACTCGATTGCATAAAGGATAAAAATATGGAAACCGTCCCCTCCCCTTACCTCTATATATAATGGAGACAAGACAACTTATGTTATAAATAGTATTGCTGATTACTTTGCATAAATTATTGTACCGATGCATTTTTTGTCAATTTCAATCGTATACTTCCATATTGTAAATAATGGAGTTCAGTGCGGTTACGTTTGACTCAATTCTTTATCAAATTTGTTTTGTGTTGGATGTAGGAGTTCATCATACCTTCTAGCGATCAATTAAATAATATATATATATATATGTACAACAATGTACACGTATGTAAGTGTAGCCCATCCGTATTGTGTTCGGACACATCGTTTTCCTCCTCGATAGAAACACATTTCATAATTCAAATTGTAAAAATCGTCATTCATATGTTTGCAGCAATTTGCTTATTCAAATATATATATGTGTGGTACCTGCATCAGTTCGTGATAACGGTACATATCATTTAAATAACTGAAAAGTTCGTATATCAAATTCCAATAAGGAAGTTGTTGCTTTGGACTGCCTTGAACTTGTGACGTCACAGATGTGGGAAAGCCATATTGAGGCGTTCGCCGCTGAGGCAAAGGTTTGTTTTTCAAAAATCGCAATATCGCAGAAACGGAGTCCATCACGACGTTAACACTTCATCAACCTTTTATTGTATAATATCATTTTCATAGCGTTATATTGCAAATCATTCATGGTACACTTGATCCAAAGGTTAGGAATCAAAAGGTAGTTAGAAGTTGACAGAAGTACAAGTTTCCCAAATATTGCAAATAGGCAGCAGATTTATTTTTGTACCTTTTGTGTTCCCATATAGATGGCACAACAACAAATCCTCAAATCTGCAGGGCCTTCCCACATAAGTTGCCTCTTACGATCATGCAGTGGGTAACTGCAGGAGTACTCTTTATTCAATCCCCGACCTTTAGTGGTGATATTATTAAGGAAGTACAGAACTAAAATTAGGTTGCCACATGTGGACATTGAAGCAGTAGGATATAGAAGGACTATTTCCCCCTGAGCCTGCACGGGTCAGTCACTTGATATTCTTACATTTTTCTATGATCTAATATAAACTGATTTTCTTATTCGCAAATTTTAATTAAGAGTTCGCTGATTTATTTGCTTGCATGTTTTATTTATAAAATTTGCAGTTATTACAGAAATATGAAGTCGTCGCTGCAGATATGTCTGTATCAAGTTTGAATGAGGGAGCATACTAGCAATTACATAGGAGCTACATCCTCCTGTATTGTGTATAGTTATATATATTCCAGAGCACGAGTATGACAACAATTAATCCTGACACTTTTAACGCTTACATGTGCACGGGAGAGGCACGCACTGTGCAGTCGTAGCTCACGTGTACGGTGTGTGTGTGTGATTAATATCTTATCATTTACTTGTTGGACTTTTACTTCTCTCTGTGTTTTACAAATACTCTACTACATCAGGGCGAAACATTCGGTACATTAGCATTTTAAAGCTGTATGGACATCAATACATTATCCTTGTGTTATTTATGAGAACTTTTATCAATGGATTTCGATAAGCTTGTGGAAAGGTTGGGTGACTTCGGAAGATACCAGAAATTCCTATACTTTCTTGTATGCTTGGCTGTTATATTCGACGGGATATTTACAATCATGCCTGCTATTGTTCTGGCTGAGCCTAATCACAGGTTAGTAGGGATAATTAACGGTTTATAGGTACCGAGAATGCAAAGCTTTTGGGAACAACTGTATTCTACGGTTCTGCTTCTGCGGTATATTTGAGTTGAGGGGAATTTTGTTCAATGTTATTTTGATTTGTTTGTATCACCTTTGATTTCCTATTTGTCTCCTTTGGTTATAGACGTAATGTATATTACTGTGTCGGGTTTGCTTGCACCAGGGAATGTATGCCTGACAGTGGTGATGGGTAGGAAACGGTACACGGGTTAATTTATAGTGAATATTTGTGTTTCAGAAAGAATATCTTATTTCACTGACAAAGGGCAGAAGGGCAGAGACAGCATGCCAAAGGACCATTGCAAATATTTCATCGTGCATTTATTGGGTGGTTTATGTATTGAGGTAATTCTGGTCTTTTTTGGTGTCTTACGTCTTGGCAAGAGCCAAGGTTTAATGTAGACTGGTGCCTAGGGAGAGACTGCCGACAAAAATATGAAAACGTAAAGAAAAGATGTTTTATCTCAAGAGCTTTAGGACAGCAGATCAATTTTGGTATCTTCCATGTCCATTTAGTAGAAGACACGGAAGAATCCATCCCCGATTTTGTAGAGGGTCCACATAAGTCACCTTTACAGCATGCAGTGATACAGCGCGTCTATGCGTTTCCCGAACCTGCACAGGGAAGTTTTTCAACCACGGGGAAACACACTATACATATATGTATATATTTACATTTGCATGGCATTGTCACTATATAGCCTCTTTGAAAGCTGTGTCGTTGATGGGACTTTAATTACCATGCATCACGAGACAAAATTCTTAACGTATCAATACAAAACTGACCGGAACTACAATATCCAATATAAATAAACATGGCGGCTGCTGAAATATCGCTGGGCATTGTGAGATTTGACAATGTCATTGTAAATTTATGTGAGAATTAAAAAATAGAATATAAAACACTTTTATTACAACGAAAACAAGACCAAGGTTTGCAATATCGTACAAAATGCACATCGGTTGAAATCACCAATGCCGGCAATGGAAACAATTTTAACGCTCGTGTGTTACACTGCACTGGTCAACAGGTGTTCGTTACAAATGTCTGAAATACACATATTCTATAGACCTACTGACACATATGTTACAGACCTACTGATATGAGTTACAGCACACATAAACATTTCAGACATTTGTAACGAACCTGTGCTTCGTCGCAAGATCACTCACTTAAAACGCTATCAGTTTCACGCGTCTCGCATCTACGGTTCCTCAGTTTCATTCTGACGACAGGTCAAATAACGAGGCTGTTATAGAATCCACCGACTGTTGTCAGGTTCCCATACAATCAACAAATAAATTCACGCCTGGATTCTTCACAATATGAGCATAAATACCATACAAATACAGTTCAATGCTTAAATACACCACTTATAACCACCTAAATGAGTTTTTGGATATAATTCTTATTCAGTACCAATACATTTCTATTTTAGGTGCAAGATACCAGAGTATGAAAACGACACTTACATCGTCCAGAACGAAGGACATCGTCAGCTTATAGATATACACATACCACCCCCTACTGATACGAGTCTTAGATACGATCAATGTCATCTGTACTCTTATAACTCGACCACTGTCAAGTTGGATAATTCTAGTCAGCCTATCATTGGCTACAAAAGTGCATGTAGCGAGTGGGTCTATAGCTATGATGTCTTCAGGGAAACATTCACATCGAAGGTATTCAGTCAAACAAGCTGCTTTCTGGTGTTTCAGAAAAAGATGAGTTTTTATCAATTCATATTGCATCGTTTCAGAATTTACAAGCATGCACAGCTACCATGAACTAACTCTTAATTGCCAATAAAGTGACAATGACAAACATGGGCACATATAATCCTGCAATGTCTGTTGTATAATTATGAAACAATTGTAATTTACAGCATTCTCTTCCGTTATTTAATATTATACGATATACAATTATTGAAGCTTCTGATGGCATATGTAACCATCCTATATATATAGGTTATGTATTCCTTTATTTTGTTTCTATCATGTTTTTATAAAAAAAATCTTATTCCAAAACAGAGATTTTGTGATCAAATCCATGTCCTTGTCCTGATGATAAATTATACAAATATCATATTTGTCAATGATTTGAAAAAAACATATTAGAGACCGCAGTACCATTTCAGTGCCTAGGTTAAAGGTATGACGGTATCAAAAAACTTCAGTTCATCAAATTACAGGAAATAAGTTCAAAAAATATGTTTTAGCATAAAAACGATTTTATGAATTCGGACAAGATATTTTAGTAAATGACAATGTAAATTGCTTTTTTTGTTTATAGTATTCATAAATTTGTTTTGAAAGTTTAGCAAACAGTTTTGTCAGCATTATACGTTAATGGTTTTTGTTTGATTGGGTTGGTCTTATCGTCATATTAAAGGCTTAAAGGCAGGTCTAGATCTGTTATTGGTGCTTCTATGTCCCCATAAAAGAAGAAAGGGAAGAAAAGCGCAGTTAAGTTTATATCCCTTTGTGGCTTAATGGACCATTTAGCGTCTATTGTGTTGATCGCTGACTCTGGTATTGGTTTAGTAACAAAGTGATCCGCGGATGTTTTTGTCCTAATACATAAAGATCCTAGGTTTTTTTTATCACTGTTTATCATATAGTTGTTGTCTTTACATTGAAGTATACTTTCTATTCCTAGCATAATCTTGTGTGTGACAACGGGTACCAAACGGCATTGGCCAAATCACTTTATTTTGTTGGTGTGTTTGTCGGAGGTATCATTTTCGGCAATTTGTCAGATGCGTAAGTATAACCTGTCAAGTAGAAAAATAAACGTAATATTTTGGTTTGTAGTTAAAACCAATTTCCACTTTATAAAGAAAGTTTACCATGTGTAACATGTAGATTGGCGGTTAAATAGATCATATCGCATAGATAGTACAAAACGATAAACCCTATTCGATAGTTCTCGCAAATTCGCTCAACATGCTTGTTATCTGATATCTAAATAGCATAACAACATTCCTTGACATAATGTTTAGAAAAAAATATGTCAAATCCGTTCACATCATTATAAGGGATTTGCACATTTATATGTGTAAGATTAATATTTTCGATTGTGTAATATGGTCTAACAGATTTAATATTCATAATGCATTGCATGTTTTTCAATCGATCACTTACATTTGTATAAATTGGACCTAAAACCCAGGTAACGTCTCTGTTTTATTTTTATTTGTTCAGATATGGAAGAAAGACGAGTTTCTGCATGGCCGTGATATCACTACTGATTAGTACAGTTGCTTTGACATTGTCTCCATTTTACACATTTTTCGCAGTGTGTAACATCATAGTAGGAGCGTCTACCGAGGGTATATACATCACAGGATATGTGTTAGGTAAGTCTACCGCTTACTTCTGAAGAACTTCTGAAACTATCCTGTTTTTAAACTGTCATTAGAAGATGTTTTCCTTATTCAATAAGAATCGCAATTTAAATCAAGATTTTTTCCTCGCAATAGTTACCAGGTTTCTCACAGAAATAAAATTTCAATTACATTGTGAAAATATTGATTTAAATATAACGCTGAATTTTGTCACATACATATAAACAAGAGATCCAAGGAGAATCTTTGCGCCCACCATCAATGGAATTTTATCAGATTTACAAAAGATGATTGTTTAGGTTTTATTTTGTTTAATTTACTTTCAACAGCTAAAGTCATTTAAGTACGTGCCTTCATGTGTGTTGTGTATTAGTGCTTGTTTTTTTTGTGTAGGAGGCAATGTATGTTGGTGTATTAGCAGGTTTACTCTCAAGACAGAAAACAAAACTTATTTATTGTGAATCAAAGTTAAGTACAAACATGGACCCGACACTGCAAGTGTCGGGGATTGCGATAAGAATACAACTGCTGCTATCAACTGCATTTATCTTAAGAGACTATTGATATGGGAACCCCCAACGTAATTGGGGATTTGATTTTGTGTGCCCCCTACTTGGGGACGAAAAAGCAATAAATAATGTTTTGGGTTCAACGTCCTCGAAACAGCCAGAGTCATATGATAACAGGTGCCTAGGGAGACAACATCCAGAGTCATTTGATAACAGGTGCCTAGGGAAACAACAGCCAGAGTAATATGATAGCAGGTGCCTAGGGAGACAACAGCCAGAGTAATTTGATAACAGGTGCCTAGGGAGACAACAGCCAGAGTCATATGATAACAGGTGCCTAGGGAGACAACAGCCAGATTCATATGATAACAGGTGCCTAGGGAGACAACAGGCAGAGTCATATGATAAAAGGTACCTAGGGAGACAACAGCCAGAGTCATATGATAACAGGTGCCTAGCGAGACAACAGCCAGAGTCATATGATAACAGATGCCTAGGGAGACACCATCTTAAACAGAAAATATATAGGAAACGAAAAAGAACAAGAGCTAGTACACCTATTATAGCAAGCAGACATGTTAAATTCGCCAGATATTGAAAAAGAGGACGAAGCTAAAGCGTCACAGTTGTGACGGACCGTCAGCGGAGTATCGTGTGTTACCTTTATGTAAAAGAAACGTCAGAAGGCTTGTTTCGGACAAACAATTTGATTGGAATGTCATAACTAAACGCATTTGATTTGACCTCTATTCTTGTGAGTTATTTTTGTTGGTTCAACATACGAATTCCTAGAGGGAAAACTGACAAGGGTAAACATTTCCAGATGCACTGCAATGGCCACATCCATGACGTGTCGATGTCCGTATTTAGTACTGTAGGTGTATTTTAAACATGCAACACTGTATGGAAAACGACATGTATTTTAAGCCGTTTTTGTCAAATAATAGTTATGGAAATTAAAGAAATAATGACATCTGTTTTGGAATTCCTTTCAATGTCAGGAAACAGACTACATGTGTTTCAGGATTATCTTTATATACTGTAGCTACATCACCATATCTTTTTTTTGTATGTAAATGAAGTGATACTGGTGTTCTAGAAATAGTGCATACTTGCCAACATTTTTAAATTTCTATGGGGGAGATTCCACATGCTCTGATTTATAGATAAAAAATAAAGTGTTTTATGTATCTCCCTTGAGAGAAATTAACTGTTTAAACCTACTTTGAATTGTTCATATACAGGAATAGTTTAGCTAAATCACTTGTTGAAAAATTAAACTCTATACCCTTATTCAAGAAACCCTTCTCCTGCTCAAATTTTGATGCTGCACTTACAGAAATCCAATTATATGTATTCAATTAAAAAGTCAAATTCTGTCATTGATTATTTTTGAAGAGGTTTGGATCTGAATACTGTCTACAGTGTTTACACTGGACATTTTGATAATTTGACCTGATATAAGCTAGTTACCAGCAAGCTGGGTTTGAAGCTTGAGATTGAATACAGGGCCAGTAATTTCTGTAATGTCAAGTATTTTTTTTTCACTTTCTTCATATTACAAATAAAGTTATCTATATTGAAAGATTTCCATCTGATCCTGTAAAATGTCAAATTCTTTTCTCCGAGATAAGACATTCTATGAAACCTTTCTTCTTCCTCTCAGCTATGTGTTGAATTTGAAACTTTGAAAATACAAGAAAATATCTCAATTAAAAGTGACTATTTTTTAATTTATTACATGTACATTTTCAAATAATATGATATGACATATCAAGCAACTAAAGTTTTACACATTATTTGATTATATCTGTGTAGGCTTTATTGAATAACAATCAGTTTGTATTTCCATGATTTTGTACACACAAATTATAACAAATTAATATAACTTGTTTACAAAATAAAGCATTTAAAACGTTATGTACAAGGACTACATGTGCTGGCCTGGGCTCCTGAGTTGCTGGGTTTCTGTGTATTATAGCTCAGTTCAACTAACTACAGCAGCAGTGCCAGGGTAGTTTAGATTGCCATGTTTTTTCTTAAAATTGTCTCTGGATGACCATTTAATCAGAGGATCTAAATTTCCGCACAAAAAAACTCACCTTGAAACCCACCTTGAAAATATTAAGACAATTGGCCGAAAAATATCCCAAACGACACAGCCAGGGAAAATTGCAGCGAAACAATCTCTTCTGTTATGGTCAGCTTCCTTGCAATTGACACTTCTGGTTTTACATGTCTATCTTGTTGACTGATCAGAAGCAAGGACTTTTTCTGTGATATTATCATCTGAAGGAAGTTGTTGTTTCAGGGTGTCATTCTCTTCCTTCAACCTTGCACACTCTTCTGTAAGATTGGCACATGGAAATAGCATACAATATTATATATGATGAAAAGTATTTATCAAGAAATATCTAAACCTACCAAAGCTAGCTGTGACCATTTATTACTCCGGAGTGGTTATTATTACAACATTATAATTGTGATATCAAGTATTATAATGTCACAATCAATGGTTATGCTAATTTTGTTAGGAATAGCTGGTAATGATATCTTTTCCTTTTATCAAAAATCAATTTATGTTTAAAGCAGAAAATACCAAAAAAATAATTTATAAATTTGTAAAAGTCAAAAAATATATAAGCTTATAAAAATAAAGATAATTTTACTTTAAAGCTGCTGTATAAGTTGTAAAGGCTACAACTATGCATTTGTTTAATTTCTTTTATATTTCTAATACCAAAACAAGGGATTACTATTGCTTCAGTTTTGACAAATAGTTCAAGTATTACACTACAGTGACAGCTACTTAACATATGATTGTGTACTTAAAGTTATGTGTAACAACACATAGTTCAAATAAAAGAGGAATCTATTATGACGAATAAATATTGTAGATTCTGTCATGGATAACATTAGACTGCTTAATATTTAGCTGTTTAGTATCAATGTCTGTATTAAATTAACATAATACATGTACTTATCATACCTGCAAAGATACTATTTTGTCCTGAAGCTCTATTACTAGACTGGCTAGATCAACACATATATAAGCATGGTCCTGGGTACCCGTGATGCCTGTATACTGATCAAGTCGTACATCTACAAAATTGTTCACAGATGCGTAGAATATCAAAATGATCACCAACCCATCGAGTGGTATTGATGAAGTATCTATTTTTAACACCATCTTGTATCAGATAAAGCATTTTAGGTAAGATGAGGTTCACCTTATTAGTAATAGAAAATGTCACATTGTGGTCAGGGTAGGGGGCTAAGATAGATACTACTACATGTACCAGCAGTCACTATATTTATAAGTTTGCTTTTTATCAGTTTATAATTTTTTATAATATTTTTTTATTTATCAACACTACAAATAATTTCATATTTTTTTTTAATTTTGTAATGAATTATTACCTAAACCGCTGCCGGCACCTGCTGTATAAGTGCGTGCGTCACTTAATTCCACCTCCCCGGCAACATAGGGATAGCACACGTCGGATTTGTCACTGATTAGTTTGACGAATCTCCAGTCCCCAGGCCGGAACATGCTTAAGTCCTTAAAATGAAAATTCAGCGTTAGTTAACGCATTCATTAAATCTGTTGTTCAAAAGGGTTTAACGCAGTCGTTAGCTAACTCAAAAAGTTTATCACTTTCACGAAAACATTATGTTTTTCCTACAATGCACTAGGTTTGTTCAACCTCCTCCCACCATTCCCTCCCTTTCCATCATGGCTGCAAGGAAAGGAAGAAAATTATCACAGTTAGTGCAAGTGGATAGCAGGGCTACAGAGATGCCGGACATTGTGAGAGGCAGGCACTCTAATGAACTTTCAAATGTCCAGAAGCAGGACTGGATGAATATGACTTAAGAGGTTAATGCCCTGGGGGTCAGAAGAAGAGGTCAGGAACCGCTTGCGGAACATAAGTCGCTGTGCGAAAGACACATTTTCTAGTAATCGCCTCGAGCGACAGAAGACTTGAGGGGGCATCCACCTGCTGCGTTGAGTGTAGCAGAAAAGAGAATTATGGATGCGATGCAAGACACAGCATCATTAAGAGTGTGCTGTTACTCGAGTACAAACAGTTTTATGCTGACTTGTTAAACATTCATTATAGTGTAATAACAAATGAGAGCACTGCTGTATGGATGAAAAATAAAAGCCATTTTATATAAAAGATGTGTTTTAAATTGTTCGAAATTATACAATATAAGTACTTCAAGTACTTTTGGATCCAAGTTTTCATGTTTATTATAAATAAATACCTGTTATGTCTCTAACAACTTGCACGACACTGCCACTTGCCCCGAACCTCAGCGTGTAGACTTCCTGCTGCTCAACAGACATAGCATGGATTCTCCTGGAAACTTTCGTCTAATCTCATAATAAATTTGCTGGAAATAAAATGGACTGGCATCCAAAGAGGTACCGCTACCATAACTCTTCATCTGTGAAGGTCCCATCCAAGATCTTTTGGTGTCTATAAACACGTTCTTTCTTCTGAAGAGGCACAATCACTACTAGAGTTTTTAACTCTAAACCCGTTGTCAGTATAATGTGACCGGGCGGAATGCTGTGCACGGTGCCTTCGGCATGGTATTGCAATGAGATAGCACTATAGGGCCGGCGATCTAATACCGACTTTATAGTGTAATCTCATTGAAATACCATGCCGAAGGCACCAAGCCAGCATTCCTCCCGGTCACATTATACTGACAACGGGTGAACCAGTTCTTATCTTTCCCCTTAACGCCGAACGTTTAACAAGGAAACAACTCCAATTTTGGAGGACTTTTGAATGAACCGGACTGGGGACAGAACCCATTGCCTTCCTATACTGGGCTAACGTTCAACATTAAAGCAAAAAGTGAGGTATTGCCAAGCAAGGCGCTAGGAAATATGATGAGCCCGAATATTGCAAAGGGTGCAGCATGCTTATTTTGGTCGATTCTGTGTTCCTAAGTAGAGGGCACAAAAACAAATACTCAGTTTTGCAGGGGTTCCAACATTAGTCGGTTTTTACGATAAATACAGTTGGTGCTGTTCTCGATCACCGACCTGCAGGGGTGTCACCAAGTACTCCTCGCCGTTATACAGTACTCGGACATGCTCTCCTCTTCCTCTAAAAACTAATATTTAAGTATACCTCTTAAAAGGGTTATATGGTACCTTTTTCTGGGATGCTGCTCTCTATATAGGTGCATTAACTTGGTCGAAAGAAACAATGAGGAAGCGGAAAAAAATATATATCCAAAGCAATCACCCCATTGTCGTACACTTAGTGGGATACAACAGATATATTGTTTACCCGACCTTGGAAGGGAAAAACTGTAAATATACATTTTTAGTGGGACTCTAAATCAAGCTTTTTTCGCTCTTTAAATATTGTTCTTATGTAAGTTTTTGTTTCTAGTTTCTAGTTGAATATACTATAAGTGCAACAATTCATGTGCTAATCTATCAAAATTTGATAACACGCTAAATTTCGCGTCTGCTTAAATACGTACGTACAGCATGTCAGTGACAGGAAAAGAAATAGTGAACCGTATTTAAACCTGTTACAGGAACTTAACCTGCACGCTGTCTTTTATATTTTACAAAGGAATATAATTAGTCAAATACTTTATTTGTTATATCTGTTACAGGACTAGAACTTGTGGGGCCTTCAAAGAGAGCAATAGCCGGAACCTGTACCTGCTACTTCTTCGCTCTAGGTTTTGTAATCGTTTCCATGATTGCGTACTTTGTTCGTCACTGGAGATATACCGGAATTATATGTGCTGCTCCTGTAGCACTTATCCTATCCTACTGGTGGTGAGAATCGTGTTACACCAATTTGTCCTGCTGATATACATAATACTTTAGATGTGATATTGTGCCATCTGTATGACAGATGTTATCTTACTAGTAATGAGTACTATGTAAACGAGTATCGCGCCTGTAGCACTTATTTCTATGTAACCGGTGCAGATTCGGAGAAGTTATCGTAAGAGGCGACATATGTGCATCCCTGCAGATTCGGGAGTGGTTTCTTCCTTGTATTCTATTTAGACATCCTCGATATTCAGGGATTACTCTCACTTTCTTGTTCTACACCCCTGGAATATGTCATAGCAAAAATGAAGGCATGCGGCTAGCTATTGTCTCATTCACAAGGTGCTGCACATTAAGCCTTCAATCATGCTATGACACATTCCAGGGGTGTAGAGAACGAAAGTGAATATCGAGGATGCTATTTAGAGGACATTGACGAAATCAATAATAGACCTTATATATCCCATTGCATGTGTATCGTAAAAGGCGACTAATGTGAGTCCCCCCTGTCGAATCTGTTTTTTCTTCTGTGTCTTCTATAAAGGGGCACGGACGAGACCAACATTGATCTGCTCCCTCAATTGCAACACTTTTGATCTTTTTCTTTTGCTATCGTTTCTGTCTTCTTTTAAGGTCACATGAGATGACCTATGACAAAGTCTCAAATGACCTATTGCGATCGCCATTTGTCCGGCGTCGTGCGTCCGTAAACAATTTACATTTTCCACTTCTTCTCCAAAACCCCTGAACCAATTTCATTGAAATTTAGCAGAAACCTTCTATGGCCAAAGGTCAACCAAAATTGTGAATTATATGGTCCCCTGCAACCAGGGCCTGAGGGAGGGAGG